CATCTTCTAGTTCTTACTACGGTGCTAGATTATAGACAAATCGTACCGGATTACCCAGCGATTCATGAATCAATGTGTCCAGTTGGGTACCCCCGAAACACACGCCCTACTTGTATCCCAGGCACAAGCAGGACCAACCCATCACTCTCCTGTCAAGGGGTCTGGGTCCCCATCCAAACTTGGACTCCAAGCCCCCACACCTGAGTACCAGACTCAGTGTGGTGCTTAGACCTCCACCATCCTCGCCTCCAATCAGTCGGTCCAAAAAGAGCTGGAACCCACGATAAGAGAGCAACGAGCCTTCCCTGCTCCTATAAATAAGTAGGTGCTCAGGATAATAAGGCTATGACCTGACTAGAATCTAATGCAACGGCCGGTCCTTAACCTACACGGACAAGGAAAACATTGTAAATAAGTTATGCTCCGTTGGCCGTGGGACACAACCTCTTACACCCACCAATATCCGTACCATATCCCTGCCCGGTCTTCATTTCTTTTCACAATTTTATCATGAGAGTGGTAATAATAATCACCTATTATGAGTAACGGCAGGTTACTCACGCTACCAAAAAACCTAAGCATAACAGTTACTCGACCTAAGCTAGTAGGACTCAAAGGTAGGTATATCTATGCGTGTAGTTTCAATATAAATCCTGTAACATAAATGCACATCATATATATATATATTTTCAGTGATTATTCAAAATAAGGGTTATGCACCGGGGCTTGCCTTTGGCAGGCGTGGTGTCAGCTCAGTCAGTCAGTGGTGGCTCTAGAACCTCCTCCTACAAGAGGATCTCCTCCTTGTACTCTTCGATCACCTCTTCGAACTCGTGATCTCCGATGGTCACGATCTCCACCAACTCGTTCTCTACATGCATGCGATGATGATGCAACACTTAGCATTTCGGCAACAGCAACTCTTAAAAATAAAAATAGACATGGTAAACTACTAAGCTAACTCTAGTGACTAGGATACTAAGCTAACTATCATGTTCATCAAGTAAAGTGTTGGGTTCAACTAACAAACACCTAGCTTTACAAATGAAGAATATATCTTTATTTCTACTAATGATTTAATGTATATTTGAAACAAAGAGCATTTAACTACCCTTATGTTAAGTCTATTTTAAAGCTACAAAAATTATAGTGAGCATATAATAATATAATGAACCTACTGTAAAAATTTCAGGGTTTTTGCTATAACCAATCTACCAAAAAAATTCCTACAATTATTTAACCTAATCATATTAAGCATTCTCAAATGATTCAATAGCCACTGGTATCAAAAATATATATGAACTAAATACACTAACAGATAGAGCACAATTTTAGGAACCTAACAAAATTGGTTTCACATTTTTTGAACATCTACAGAATTTGCTATAATTTTCCAAAGACCAGCTCAAAACTAAATAAGAAAAACATTTGCTAATTCGTTGGAAAAAGGAAAACCAATTGTTGTGCGGCCCATCTGTGCGGCCCGCAGGCACGGCCCACGCGAAGCAGGCCCACGCGCGAGGCGGCCCGCGGTGGGAGAGTCCAGCGAGCTTTTGTAGTTTTTGCAAAAAGAGACCTTGCATTTCCCCCAATACGCAACCAAGGACCAACACTATTTTACTTACTCACAGATCCTCTCACTTAACCCCCAGCCTTTCTCTAATTTACCCGCACGCACGCGGTGGCTCAGTGCGCGGCGAGCGGTGGCCTAGCATGGCTGTGCCGGCCACCTAGGACCGCCACTGGCCCGATGGTCGGACCGGCCTCCATCCCCGGTTCAACCCGCTACACCTAGCGGTAGAGAGATGGGAGACAGAGCGAGGACGGTGGAATGAGGCCAAGGCTCTGCTGTGACACGCCTTGGCGGGACGCGGTTGATGTAACCGTAGCGACCCAGTGTACCAAGTAGCGAACGAGCACGCGCGTGTTCACGCCGGCCTGGCCCGCGCGCCGCAGCGCCATCAATGACGTGACGACGGCAGGTGCAACCACATGCATGGAATAAAACTGGGCCAGGGCGTAGAGCATTGCGGCGCAGACATCAGCGCGGGGTGCGACGGTAGCGGCAGTAGGCATGTCACGATGCACGGCGGACTTGGCAGCACGACAACGCGCAGGGCGAGCGGCAGCGCGGCATGGCCTCACACGGCAGCGCCCATGACTATTCCCACGGCACACGGCCAGACCAGCGTGGCAACATGCGGGCGTGCGTGAGGCGCATTGACATGGCGACGCCGACCACTGACGCGCGGTGACCGCGTCCACACGGGGGAAGCAAATCGGAAATATGATGTGCACGGATTTTAAAGCTGCTACCGCGACCAAACCGTTACTCCTAAACATAAATGGTCTTCACTACACTCAAGATGGTAAATGAGGCTACTTTATCAAGCTATAACACTACGTCGCTTTTTAACCCAATTCCTCAAAATAGTTTGCTAAACATAGCAATATCTAACTGTCAACAGACTTGGAAATTTTTCTAAGTTTTGAGTTGAACTCTATTTCAAATTGCATTTCTAAGCTATTGAAAATATTAGCTAGCAAGGTTATTTTTCAACAGCAAGTATTTCATCATCTTCTATAAAGTTCACACTCCAAACTTTATTTAAGCCCCATATATAAGTTCTATAGTAATTTTACTCAATAAAAATTGCTTTACAACCATACTTGATAATTGTACGAATCGTGGAGTAACTTTTCGTTTTGCATTCTTATTGATCGTTTTAGTTGAAATACTTCACCTATTCGTTTCATCACATGCATTACCCCATAAGTATGATGCTTATGATGTGTTTTAGTAAATGATTTAGGGTATAACACCGAGGGTGTTACAAAGACACTACTATAGAAATCTTATTGGAGGCGGGCAATCCAACCGCCTCCAACAAAGGTCACAGTTAATCCATGACCTGCAGAGACGGTTCCTTTGCCAGTCTCCATAAATGAAATTAAAATAATAAAAAAGCAGCTGAGCCCAACGCCAGCCCATACGGGCCCGATGTCGAGGCCAGCCACGCCGCCACTGTCCTGGAACCCTCCACCATCGGATCCGCATCTGGACGCGCCGCCGCCGCCGGATCTGCACCTGGACGCGCTGTCGGTGGAGCCCCTACAGCCAGATCTGGTGGAGACGGGGAGGCCTCACGCTGAACCGCCTCCTCGCTGCAGATCCAACGCCTCCATTGCCGTCACGACCTCCATGCCGTGCTCCAGCTTCAGATCCACCGCCGCAAGGGCCCCCGCGAGCGCCCGTTTCAGATCCATCGCCGGCACGACCTCCCCATCGTCATCCATGCCCTCCGCAGAGGTCCCTCCGCCACCAGGGCCCTCCGCCACGCCAGGGCCTCCGCCTCCGCCGTCTGGGACTTGCGCCGCCGTGTGCTGAGAGATGTGAGAGGGAGTGGCGCGGGGGAGAGAGAGGGCGCGGGGGAAAGGGAGGGGCGCGGGGGAGGGAGAGGTTGCGGAGGAGTCGGAGGGGGCAGCCCGCTTGGAGGGAGTCGGTGGGAGAGTGCCGCTCTCGGCTGAGGAGGGAGAGGGAGAGGAAGAGAGAGTGACTGAAGGAAGAAACCCTTACTTCCTCTATTTATATGAAGATGGCTATCGGGCCTCGTTGGGCCCGTTGGGCCTCGACCTTTTTCGGAGGCGGGCACCTTAAGATGACCGCCTCCAAAAATAGGCCTTTTTTGGAGGCGGTTGTCTTAAGACGCCCGCTTCCGTAAATTAATTTTAGGAGGCGGCTGGATTTTGACCGCCTCCGTAAATCGATTTTACGAGGCGGGCAAACATGACCGCCTCGGTAAATAAAAATGACCGCCTCCGTGAATAGCCCAGCATTTTAGGAGGCGGTTGGATTTTGTGCTCGTCTCCGTTAATGTTTGGGCACTGCCTACTAAAATCATTTGTGTAGTAGTGAGAGAAAACTAACGGGACTTGAGGCTGCAAGAATATCCTTGCCTTTTATACGGGGGTAGAAGCGTATTTTTTCCACCAACCTTGGTCTACGGGCGGAGTCCTAGAATCCCAAATTATTTTGGGACTAAGGAAGTAGATTATAAGAACATATTCACATTATAGGTAACTCTTAATATACAAACAATTCTTTTGTATAACTGATGAACAAAAATAATGATTTCAATGGTATTTTCAAATCCTACTACGCTTTATAGAAAGATCTAGGATGTAGTACAAGAAGTCTACACACTTTCTCACATTTATTTTAGTCATATAGGCTTACGTATGCTGGTGCCCTGATACATCCATGATAAGCAAGCTAGGGATGCTAGTCCATTTGATTCCTATATAAATCTCAAATTATAGTTGTAGCAATTAATTTTATATACTCAATAAAGGATCAAAATCTCATATATAGCAATCATAATCCTAAATGCTCCAAAATCAGCTAGCTGGCTCTCCCTTATCTTCGTTGTTTTTTCTTTTCCTCCTGAATGAAAAGAAAAGAAAACGGCCGGGCGTGGTACTAACTCCCAACTACGCACCTACCGCGCGCATAACTCCTGCCCGCCTTGCCTCATCATCTCCAGCGTCGCCGTCGACTCATCCTTATCCTCCCCCATCACGCTCACGGCTCAGCCCGCGGCCGCACCGCGCCATCCGTACTCTCCCGGCCGCCCCACCGCTGGCCGCCCCGACGTGTTGCGCCGCCACAGGAAGGTCCCGGGGCCGCCTTTCGGGCGGGGCAGCGCCAGCGGTGGACCCGCGCCACGCTGACGCGAGCGCGCGTCCGTCCCAGAAGGCTGACGTAAGCAGTGACAGAATTGGCGCCGCCTCTCGGTGTCCACGTGTCGCGGTCAACCGGTCAGAGCGGGCCTCCACGTGTCGTAGTCGGCCGCGGCTATAAATGCCCGGCTCCGCACCCGGAACAAGTTTCAAGCCCTCCTCTCCTCTTCCTACCATTAGCAGCAGCAGCCAGCAGGGAGAGAGGGAGACTGCGTCGACTAGCAGAGCAGCCAGCAGCGATTGAGCGAGGGAGGAACACGATGAGCGGCGGCGGTCAGGATCTGCAGCTGCCTCCGGGGTTCCGGTTCCACCCGACGGACGAGGAGCTGGTGATGCACTACCTCTGCCGCCGCTGCGCCGGCCTGCCCATCGCCGTCCCCATCATCGCCGAGATCGACCTCTACAAGTTCGACCCATGGCAGCTCCCCAGTACGTCCTCGATCGATCTGCTTGCAGCAGCCAGCCGGCCGTGAACAATTTCAGTTTTCTGTGCGGCCGTGATGATGGTGATCGAGCTGACCGCCGATTGATGACGTGATCTATTTGTGTGTGCAGGGATGGCGCTGTACGGCGAGAAGGAGTGGTACTTCTTCTCCCCTCGGGACCGCAAGTACCCGAACGGGTCCAGGCCCAACCGCGCCGCCAGGTCCGGCTACTGGAAGGCCACTGGCGCCGACAAGCCCGTGGGCACGCCCAAGCCGCTCGCCATCAAGAAGGCGCTCGTGTTCTACGCCGGCAAGGCGCCCAAGGGCGAGAAGACCAACTGGATCATGCACGAGTACCGCCTCGCCGACGTCGACCGCTCCGCCCGCAAGAAGAACAGCCTCAGGGTAAGCAAAAGCACCTCGCCGTCCGTCCGTCCGTCCGTGTCGACGACGAACGTAACGTAAATTCGTGTCGTCGTCGCGTCAAACAAAAAAGAAAACGAAGAACTTGACGACAATGTGTCGCTTTCGAAATGAATGCGGGGATAAGCGTGGCCCACGGTTTTGGGCCGCTGAATTTTTTCGGAATGGGCCGGCTGCACCGGCGCAACTTGCCCAAATGATTCCAATGGGTCGCTGTCCTCGGTGTGAGAGCATTCGATGCCATGGCTGATGGCGAACCAATCATTTTCGCCCGTCGCGCCCTGCGACGGCGGCGACGGCGACGGCAGCAATGAACGAATAAAGTTCTTGTGGGGTCTGGGATTAGAGATCGAAATGACGCTTTGTGATTCTTTAGTTCATTCATTTATCAGTTTGCACAACTGCACTAGTGCTTACGTGCATCTGACAAATTGTTTATTCCGGTGATCCGTGCAGTTGGATGACTGGGTGCTGTGCCGCATCTACAACAAGAAGGGCGGGCTGTTGAAGCCGTCGGCGGCCGCCGGCGACCACAAGCGGATGGTGTTCGCTGCGGCCGCGGTGAGCTCCCCTCCGGAACAGAAGCCGTTCGTGGCGGCGCTAGGCGGGCTTCCCCCCGCTGTGTTCCTGGCCGACCTGGCGGCGTACTACGACCGGCTGTCGGACTCGATGCCGTGGCTCCACGCGACTCCAGCTGCTCGGAGCAGGTGCCGTCGCCGGAGCAGCTGGCATGCAACCGGGAGGTGCAGAGCCAACCCAAGATCAGCCAGTGGGAGCGCACCTTCGCCTCCGACCCCGTCAACCCCGCCGTCTCCATGCTCGACCCCGTCGTGGGCGGCCACAACGGCGACCCGCTGCTGCAGGGCATGATAGACTTAGTGGATCACCTAGACATAGATTTAGCGGGTACAACCTTACATATGGGATGACAACTTCCTAGAACATGATTTAGAGAGAGGAAGGGAGATGAGATATCACCGACCATCCGCGGGCTTGGAGGAAGAGCTCGACGTAGCCATGGCGAAGGTGATGCGGTCCGGGTCGGCGGAGTCGTAGTCATGGTGTTGAGGTCGGTCGCAGTGTAGTGGTGGCGCAGAGGCAGCGGTGAAGACGTCAGTGGAGCTTCCCATCGTTCAGCGCCTTCCTCTTAGATCGGATTAGGGTTAGGACTGTAGGTGGGAGAAATGTGGCTCAGGTGAACCTCGTGACGCGAGCCCCGGCCTCCCACCTCTTTTATATTGCGTTGCGCGACGGGGGCTCATCAACTATGGAACGGTTGGGAGCCCCCGATCAGGGCGCGGATCAAGGCCCCGACTTGCTCGTTGGACCGAGCCGAGAGGAGATCAACCTAACATTCTCTCCCTTGATCTTACCTTATGACTTAAACTTAAAATTCTTCTCTTTTTTCCATTCCATCATAGATTAGCGTATAGAGCGTGTCTCGTCACAATAGTTAGTACCATTGGATTAACAGCTACAACACACCGCTCTGTTTTGAAACAGATTTTCTCAACTAGGCCCTTATTGTTCAGGAGTCATAGACTTTTTCTTAAACCCACGTCGGCTAAGTGTTCTCTGAACACGTTGGGTGGTAAGCCTTTTGTAAGCGGATCCGCGAGCATCTTTTCTGTACTTATGTGCTCAAGGCTAATTATATGATCCCGGACTTTGTCTTTCATATAATATTTTATTTTAATATGTTTGGTAGCACCACTTGACTTATTGTTGTGAGCATAACATACTGTTGGATTATTGTCGTAGTACAACTTGAGTGGTTTATGTATGTCGTCTTCCACTTTCAACCCGGGCATAAACTTCTTTAGCCAATTTACCTGCCCCGTGGCCTCATAACACGCTACAAATTCGGCATATATTGTAGACGATGTAGTGACGGTCTACTTGAAACTTTTCTACGATATAGCTACTACTGCGAGAGTAAATATATATCTTGACGTGGACTTTCTATCATCTCTCGCATAATCTGAATCTGTATACCCCTCTATGTGTAGGGAATCAGATCTTCTGTACGTTAGCATGAGGCCATTTGTGCATTGCAAGTAACGCAAAACTTTCTTTATCAGTCTTCCATGTTCTATTCCTAGATTACTCTGATATATGTCAAGTAACCCGGTAACAAACGCTAAGTAAGGGCGTGTACACACTTGATCATACTGTAAACTTTTCGACAGCTGAAGCATATGGAACCACTTTCATTTGATCGATCTCATATTGATTCCTGTGATATTGGAATTCACCAAATCTATCGTCCTTGACTATGGGAGCAGGTGAAATGATGGATCTAGGATCTTCCAATGTTCCAGCCTCAGTGTTTATGCGCATAACTGAGCTAGATTGTGGATCACTTCTATCCACAGGACATTGTATGTCCTCTAGGTGTCTTTCAACCAAAGGTTGAGTTGCATTTCTAATCTTCTTTTGCTTGCCAGCAACCCCATCTTACCTCTTGGAAGTGCTTCTCCCCCTCTTATTGCTAATTTGAGGGTGAGTGGTTTTATTCGGTACATCCACTCTTTCGGGCACATTCCTTGTAGGATGGAGAGACTTTGTAACACATTTATAATTAGAGAAAGCGCCTGGCAGATTGTTTGCAATATATTGCAAATCATTAATTCTTTGAACTTATAGTTCAGTTTCTGTAGTACGTGGATCAGAAAATAAAATGCCTTCTGCATTCCAATCAATTTCCTAGCATTCCTTTTCTTACAATTCTCCCCCTAATGTCGGGAAATGATCCTCATTAAAAATACAATCAGCGAACCGAGCTGTAAATAGATCCCTTGTTAGAGGTTCTAGGTACTTAATGATCGACGGAGATGAATATCCCACATAGATCCTCAGTTTCTTGTGAGGACCCATCGATGTCCGTTGAGGTGGTGAGATGGGTACGTATTCTGCGCACCCAAACTTACGCAAATGGGAAATACTCGGAGGATTCCCACGTACTAACTGGAAAGGGGATTTTTCGTGATATGCAATTGGTCGTAGTTGGATCAGGTCGGCAGCGTGCAGAACTGCATGACCCCAACATGACATAGGCAATTTGCAATTTATCAACAAAGGTATTGCAATGAGCTTCTTTTAATCAACGATTTAGCCAAACCATTTTGAGTATGTACATATGGGACAGAATGCTGAACTTGAATTCCCAATGCCATGCAATAAACATTAAAAGCATGGGACGAGAATTCAGCAGCATTGTCTATTCTGATACATTAAATCCGATGTTCAGAACAATGTGCCTTCAACTTAATAAGTTGGGCCATTATTTTGACAAAATCATAGTTGTGTGTCGATAAAAGAGACGCGTGAGACCATCTAGTAGATGCGTCTATCAAAACCTTGAAGTACCTGAACGGCCCCGATAATAGTTCGATTGGACCACAAATATCTCTTTGAATTCTTTAGAGGAATTTGAGTGGTTCAGCTCGAATTTTAAGATATGATGGTTTTAAAATTAATTTTCCAGTTGCACAAGCACTACAACAAATATCTTTATTTTGGGGAAATTTGGCATTTTCCATATCATGACCAATAGAATTGCTGATAATTTTCTTCATCATCCCTATTCCAGGGTGCCCAAGTCAATCATGCCAGATTCAGAATGTATCGACATCTTGGAAAATTATCTTATAAGCAACATGTTCTATGGGCTTTATGTATGTAAAGTACAATGCAGTTTGGAGTAAAGAAATCTTTTCACAGATTTATTTGCCATATCCAGTAAGTTTGGTAAAGAGAAAGAATTCCTCTTTATTATCCATATGTGTTTCCACATGTGTTGACACAGAATTTCGTCCCGTGCCGAGGACACACGAGCAAACCGGAAGGGTCCGCTCGATGGAGCTGGAGATCCGCCTAGCTTCAGCACAAGGGTGGTTGATCCTGCGCACTCCTCCTGAGATAAGCCAGTCAATTTGACCCTACAATTGACAAGAAGAGAAAGCTTATCTGTAATTAAGGGTGGAACATGTCGGTGTTGCTAGGCAGTCCTGAATATGTGGCTCTGAGAGCCGATATGAAAGAAGATCGACTAAATAGTCGATTCTAGCATATTCGTAAGAATAAATCGATTAAAGCTCATGGAGTTGTGTAAGAAGAATCGGTTATCATTATAAATATCATTGTTTAAACAAATACTGGTCACTGGTGTCGGATACCATAAAAAGGGGTACCCTAAGCGAGAACTGAAAAAATTGCTTAGCCCTTGTAAATATCAAAGCCAAGAAACAACGACGAGGCCTCGGCCGATTCTCCGATTCGCCCGAGGCCCGCGCCGCACAGCCTCTGATGAGGTGCCGACTATCCGCCTCACCGAGGCCCCCTAGCCCGAGGCCCCGCGTCGTAAGGTCTCGGACGAAGTACCGATTCTCCGCCTCGCTCGAGGCCGTCTCGGCAATGACCCCGTAACCGCTGCCTCGACCGGCTTCTCTGACAAAACATCACGTCCAATTAACGCGTCCAACCACTCCCGCAACGTCAGCCGCGCGTCGGCATAGTACAGCGGAGTGGCCGATGGGACTGGATTCACATCGACGCCATGCAGTCAGGGACATGACAGGGCAGGGGTTACCGGCCGCTGTGCTTGGCACTGTGCCCATGACTAACGCCCATACTGCACTGTGCTATCTAACTCCTGCTCTGAGGACAGCACGGCGTGGAGAGTCAGGTCCGGGTCCTTGTAGCCTCGAAATCGGTGTACAGGACCAACTGCTCCCTCCGAGCCTCGGCAATCCGCTTCAGGGTCTCGGCAGCCTCGGGATTCACGCCCGCCGAGCCCCCCACGATGGCTCGGCCTCAGCACCAATTGAGCCTCCGCTCTTTATGCTGTTGACACACAGCGACCGGCACATCTTCTGCAGCACGCACCGTACCCTGCGCCAAGCTGCACCCACGTCACGCATAGGGCCAAGCTCCTGTATCCTCGGAGTCAGCACACCCGCACCATCCTGTCAGCCCAGCCTCGGCACTCCGCGCCAGTCAAACATGCAGCAACTAGCACGCCTCCGACAGAGGAAGACGCGCCTACCGCCGCAGGAGCTCCCACGTCTCATAGGACCAGGCGTGACCGGCACGCCGCTCCAGTGCACCAAGGACAAGACCGCTTCATCAACCATGCCGCCATAGTGAGAAGCTATAGGGCTTGGCACGCCGCCTCCGCTCACAAAATGCCACGTAGCAATCCATGTACCGTCCTTGTGTCTTCCTTCGACTATAAAAGAGAGTGACCGGGGCCGCTTCTAAGCATCAAGAGAACAGATCGAAACCACGCTTGCACTCACGCGCAAAACGCACTCACTCAACCCACACACGCTCCCCCGCTGCCTGAGAGCAACGTCTCAAGCAGCCCACGCCGTTCCACGCAGAGACCTGGGACTAGCTCCCTCTCTTGCCCTGCTTGTAAACCCCTACTACGAGCACCTCAGTGCAAGGAATACAAGATCGCTCTCTCAGACTGGACGTAGGGCATCTATTGCCTGAACCAATATAAACCTTGTGTCTCTTTGCATCACCATCCGGGATTAGGGGCACGCAGTTCAAAT